TATATATATATATATATATATATATATATATATATATATATATATATATAAAATACATAATTTATTTATAGTAAAAAGAAAAGAAAAAAATGATTGTAAAGTTAAAGCTCGAGTCTTGCATTAAAGGAACCTCCCCCTTCTTTCACGGGCTTTATATCATCCTGTAAACACCTCCATCTCCGGCTTCCACTTCCTCACTCACTCTCATTGCCTTTTCTTTTCTTTTCTTTTCTTTTCCTTCATCTTCCTCCATCCTCATGTTCATCCACACATTCTTTCTGCAACTCCATCTCTTACATGGACTCAAGAACCACCATTAAACCCACTTCTGCATCTCGAAGCAAATTCTCTAAAACCTTTCACAAGGTCTTGCCTTTCAAGAAATCAACTAAATCCTTCTCCAACAATGGCTTTTGCTTGCTTCTCCCTCATGAAAACAAGTTTAAGAACTATGACTCTGGAAGTGATTCTCACAGGCTTTTCAACAAACACTCTGTGGACGATGCGCACCTCCGAAACAGAGCTGCCATGGAAGCTTTTGTTGCTAAGCTCTTTGCCACTATTTCGTCCCTGAAAGCTGCGTATGCCGAGTTACAAGCCGCTCAGTTTCCTTATAGTGGTGAAGCTGTACAATGCGCCGATCAAGCTGTGGTTGACGAACTCAAAGCCATATCGGAGTTGAAACGGAGTTTCTTGAAGAAACAGATCGATTCTTCGCCACCTCATGTCACCCTCTTGCTCTCGGAAATCCAAGAGCAACAAAGCCTTATGAAGATGTACGAAATCACCATGAATAAAATGGAAAGAGAGATTAAATCCAAAGATTTTCAACTTTCTTCGCTTCGGAAACAATTGGTGGAAGCTGATTCCACCAACATATCCATCGAAACAAAGCTGAATTCAAGTGGGTGTTTCCCAATCTTGGATAACGTCAATTTGTCTGATCTAACCCCGACAAATTTCATCGCTGTCCTACACTACGCTCTTAGATCGATAAGAAACTTTGTGAAACTATTGGTTCGTGATATGGGAAATGCTCATTGGGATATAGATGCCGCCGTGAAAGCAATCGAACCGAATGTCGTTTTCTCCAAATTGAGTTACAGATGTTTCGCTATCGAATCATACGTTGCTCGTGAGATGTTCGTGGGTTTTAACGACGACGATGATGAAGAAGAAGTAGAAGATCGATTTCAATCGTTTAATCACTTCAAGAAGATGAAATCATTGACGACGACGCAATTACTGAAAGAAAACCCAAGATCGGCGTTCGGGAAGTTCACACGCGCCAAGTACATGCGACTGGTGCATCCCAAAATGGAGGCTTCGTTATACGGAAACCTCAGTCAACGGAAAACGTTAAACACCTGGCAGTTTCCCGACACGGCGTTCTTCGGCGCGTTTACGGAGATGGCGAGGCGCGTGTGGGTCTTACGGTGTTTAGCGTCGGCGTTTGATAAGGAAGTGAGTGTTTTTGAGGTGAGGAAAGGTTGTCGGTTTTCGGAGGTGTATATGGAGGCTGTGACCGATGAGGCGTTTAGCGGTGGTCAAAGTGGCGATGAGCTGCGGGTGGCGTTTACGGTGGTTCCAGGTTTTAAGATCGGAGAAACGGTGGTGCAAAGTCATGTATATGTGACGGCGGCGGTGGCACGAGGGTAGTTCCGGCCAAAGGGTAACGGAGGGTTTTGTGATTGTACAGTGGATTATACGTAGTATTATTATATCATATCATACTGTAATGGTAATTGAATAATCAATTCTTCACGCGCCGATGTTGATTTAAGTTACTTAACAAATTTTCATTAAAAATACTTGCTATATTCCAAAATAAATAGCGAGAGGTTGTTTGTTTATCTTTTAATAGTTTTATTAAGAGGTAATCTCAAAATCGGTAAGAAGTGAATCTTATTTGGTAAAAAAAAATCTGTCTTTTAATTATTCTAAAACTCTCTGAATGATTTTGTATATTAGGTCTCTCTTAATAATTAGTAGTCCTAATTTCATTGTAAATAATTATCAAACAATTAATTTTATTTTACATTATATCATGAGAGCCACTTAATCATTATGATCACTTAATGATTTATCAACTACCAAACAGCCCCTAATACACATAATTTAAAACATTAATAATTTCTTTAGTTAATCAAATTATTCATTTTATTCTTAATTATTATTTATTTTGAGATTTGTAAATAAATAATAATTTTGAGACAGAAAAAATATATAAATAAATAAAAAAGAAAATGATCGAAACGGACAAAGGGTGTGGAAGAAGTGATAATGGGAAAGAATACATATGATTATGATTCTGATTCCTAGGACATGCTTCTTTAGCAATCCTTCAAATCTATCATTACAACCTTATTTTACTACTTTTAAACTCCATTCCATTAACTATGTAACATTCATATAACATATTAATATATATATATATATATATATATATATATATTATACCATTTATCTTTGTCTATACGGAAATTAAAATAATTTGCATATAATAAATGCGTTCACTAGTAGTCTAATACAGTGGTCATAGAAAAGCATCGATGGACCGTGGAGATGTGAGACAACTTAATAAGGTTGTTAGAGTTAAACGAATAAATTCAATCAGAATTTATATATCTGTCTGTATAATAATTTAGCAAAATTTAAACCAATATCATTTTTAATTTAAAATCAAAATTTGTTATATTATTATTAGTTAAATTTTAGTCATTATAAAGATAAAAAAATAAATCGGTATGTTATGGTATTACTATGGTACGTGATTTCTAATACGACATACCAACCAAGTTTAGATAATTGGTATGGTACTATGGTACATTAACTAGTTTATTTTCTTATAAAATTGACTCACCTATAAAAATCTATATTTTAATTAAATAGCAGCAAAATTATAATTAATTTTTTTTATTGTAAGTTAATATTTAATAACTTATTGATTAAATAATAATTAGAATGTAAATATATGAAATAAAATATCTTTTTTTTTGTCTTAAAGTAGTTAATATCTTTTAGGGTGTGTTTGGTTTGCAGGAATGGAATGAATTTGGGGGGATTTGGATTTTAAATCCATTCCAATCCTATGTTTGGTTTTGCCAAATTGAAGGGATTTGGAATCCGGGGATTTGATTAAAATCCAGTGTACGAGGGATTTGGAAATCCTTTGCAAAGGGGCGGGATTTCAAATCCAAATCCGGGCCTTTCCTTCCCATCACTTCCTGTCGATTGCTTCACCCACTTTCCTCCCGCTTCCTTCACCCATATTCCCTCCCATCGCTTCCCTCCCATCGCTTCCCTTCCATTGCCGGTGCTCCCTTCCCGTCCCTTGCGAAGCTGTGCCCTAAGGTCGTCTCGCCGGTGCTCCCTTCCTTTTCCCCTCGCGAAGCTGCGCCCTRAACCGCCTTGAGCCAAAACGCCTTTCCTGTTCGCCGCCTTCTCGCATCACTCTCAACAGGTAAATCATATAACACCTTTTGTAGATGCTTAAATCTGAATAGGTTGCTGTATATCTGAATGGATGTGTTTATGCCTGCTACTTATGAACAGAGTAGTCCTTCTTCATTTTTAATCTGTTATTCCTGCTACTTATGAACAGAGTAGTCCTCCTTGTTTGATCAAAACTTTTCTCAAGTATATAGTTATTGTTTATGTTTTCTAACATTTGCAAGATATGGTCTGTTGGGGGGTAAACCAGTATGTTACGTTTTTCATTTCTTCATCTTTGGAGAACACAACTTTGTAGCTCTTAGAACTTCCAGTGTGCTATGTACATATGATGGTTTCATCGTCATTGCTATATGCTTGCTTAAACTGATTCTTCAGATGCATGATCATAGGAATTTTGCTATTTCTAGTCAATTTCTATATGCAGTTTTATGATTCTTTAAGATATATAATTGAAGTTCATGGTATACACTATGGTCATATAAACATTTGATGTTTAAATTTGGACCATTATGGCACACCCATCTCCTGTAGCATAGGTTCCATAAACGTAATTATTTCATAAACATACTTACTCTGGAATGAAGGTTTCCCAAGAATGAGAATGTGTAAATGTGGATAAAAAAGTATGGAAAACATCTATGATGTCCAAGTGTCCAACTGTGGGCTGTTGATGAACTTATGCTGAATATATGGAAAACATCTACTCTTTTTTTGAATTTGCTCTCATGATGTGAGCTGAAGCCCATTTAAGTAAGTAGCTCTATGGGGAAATTGATTCGAAGGCTATGGTTGTAAGGGTGAAATATAAGTTTGGACGAATATTGAAGAAACAAAACTCGTTGAAGCTTTACCTATTATGGTGAATACGGGAGCATTTAAAGCCGATAATGGCTTTAAATCGGGTTATTTAACATTTCTTGAACAATCGTTAAAAGAATCTTTGCCGGGCTCCGGGATTTTGGATGAAAATGTTTGATTGTTAAATTTTTAG